TTTCCAGGCTCCTGAGGGCTCTGGGTTCCCTTTGTTTTCCCTCTCCCTTCTCCTCCTTCAGCCCAAAGGAGCCCGTTTGGAGGAGATCCAGCCCTGGCTGGCCTGGCTGGAGGGACCTGGCCCTGCAGGGCTCCTGGGGCTGTTTCTGCCTCTGGACACAGAAAACAGCTCCAGGTGACACCGTTCATGTCACCAATCCCTCCCAGCTGCCACCCTCAGCCTGAGCCTCACTGCAATTCTTGCCACAAGGTTTTTGCTCTGGTTTCGTGGGTTTATCTTTTTTTCCTCCCCCTTGCAAACACGAAACTGCTCCTGCTGAATGCTGGCCCTGCTTTTCTGGCTCTTCCACTCGTCCCTCTCATCCATCTCCCCATTCCCACCACCCTTCCTTCCCCTCCCTGCTGTGCCCAGGCTTTTATCTCATGCATCATTCATCCCAGCTTAGTGCTCCTCTCAGGGCAGCCTTCTGGGAGCTGCAGATCTCCTTGAATTCCTCTTCTCCTCCTTCAGCCCAAAGGAGCTCGTTTGGAGGAGATCCAGCCCTGGCTGGCCTGGCTGGAGGCACCTGGCCCTGCAGGGCTCCTGGGGCTGTTTCTGCCTCTGGACACAGAAAACAGCTCCAGGTTTCATGTCACCAATCCCTCCCAGCTGCCACCCTCAGCCTGAGCCTCACTGCAATTCTTGCCACAAGGTTTTTGCTCTGGTTTCGTGGGTTTATCTTTTTTTCCTCCCCCTTGCAAACACGAAACTGCTCCTGCTGAATGCTGGCCCTGCTTTTCTGGCTCTTCCACTCGTCCCTCTCATCCATCTCCCCATTCCCACCACCCTTCCTTCCCCTCCCTGCTGTGCCCAGGCTTTTATCTCATGCATCATTCATCCCAGCTTAGTGCTCCTCTCAGGGCAGCCTTCTGGGAGCTGCAGATCTCCTTGAATTCCTCTTCTCCTCCTGCCTTGCCCTGCTTTGCTCTCACACACACTTTCCCTGCCGTTTTTCTGGGAATGTTGCATCCACACACCTGGCAGCAGAGTTTGGGACATTTCCCCACCTCCTTCCATCGGGAGATGCTCTGGGTGGAATTCCCTGGGGTGTGGGACGAAGCTTCCCCACTGGGCCAGAAACACACACAAACTTTAGAGGCAGAACAAATCATTGATGAGGAGACAGAGCCGCTTTTGGGGTGTTTTGGCCTGAACTGGATGGATTTATCCCAGCAGCAGCTCCTCTGCTGGCTGGGAGCTCAGAGAGCTTTTCCCAAGCACCTCCGTAGCTCTCACACCTTGGGAGAGTGGAGAAATAAAAATGAAAATCACTATAAATATAAATCTAGCAGGTAGCCACATGGTTTTCCAGCTCCCTTTGGGTTGTTGGAAGGGCTGGAACAGGGAGAGCCGTCAGTGGGGTGGGAGCCCCATCCAAAGCAGCCCTGGAGAGCTCCTGGGAGTGGTGGAACTTCTGCAGGGTGGGGAGAGAGGCCTTGGGAGGCAATGGCAAATCCCACGGATCAGGATCCTGGATCAGGGGTGTTGGGCTCAGCTCAGAATGCCAGGAGGGCCCATCTGGCTGTGCCAAAGCACATTCCAGGAGGATTCCAGGGGAGCAGCCTCAAAGAAGGACACCAGGAGGGCCCCCAGGCCCTTCCCGAGGGCTGGTCCCACCTGCAGGATCAGCCCCAATCCCTTACTCAGCATTTGCAAAGCCCCACTCACTCTGGAGGGGATTTCAGATTAAGCTCTTTAAGCAACAAAGCAAGATCTCTCTTTTCAACCTCTGCTAAATCCCATAATCCTGGGGGAAGGGCTCTGCTCCCCCTGGGGAAGGAGAAGGAGATTTTTTGCTGAGGGAGACATAATGACTTCATCCCCACATAATCAGGTGGTATTTGCTGATTAGACACAGAAAGCCTTGGGGAAAGTTGGATTTTGGATAACAACTTAAAGATCTTTAAGAAAAAAGAGGTACCCCCCAAAAAAACACCCTAAAATCACAAGAAGAGCCAAAGAGGGGTAAAGGTCCTGTTCTGGGGGCCTTGAGGTGCAGAGAGCAGAGTGGGTTTGTCTTCTCTGCAGGAGGAACTTGGGGATTCCTGTTATGAGACAGGGATCAAAATTCCCCCAGTCCATGGCTGGCCATGCTGGGGAGCAGGAGTTGGACATTTGGGATGGCCCAGGGCAAAGCTCAGCTCTTCCATGAACAATCCCCAGGTATTTTGGGATGGAAGGCGCCTCTGGAGGCCTCCAGCCCAACCTCCTCTCATGGTCAGCAGTGGGGTCACACTCAAACAGCTCCATCTCCACTGCTCTGGCACCTGAAACCCAAATCCCTGAACCCCAAATCCCTGAACCCCAAATCCCTGAAACCCAAATCCCTGAATCCCAAATCCCTGAAACCCAAATCCCTGAAACCCAAATCCCTTAAACCCAAATCCCTGAAACCCAAATCCCTGAATCCCAAATCCCTGAACCCCAAATCCCTGAATCCCAAATCCCTGAATCCCAAATCCCTGAAACCCAAATCCCTGAACCCCACCAGGCACCTGGATGTGCCCTGGAGGGGAAGAGGAAGAGGATCTGAAGCTGTTTGAGCCCGACCCCCCGGCTGTCCCCTCCTGCCAGGGACTTGTGCAGAGCCAGAATTTCCCCCTGAGCTCATTTTCTCCAGGCTGAGCTTTCCCAGCTCCCTCAGGAATTCTCCAGCCCCTTCCCAGCTCCCTCAGGAATTCTCCAGCCCCTTCCCAGCTCCCTCAGGGATTCTCCAGCCCCTTCCCAGCTCTGTTCCCTGCCCTGGACACGCTCCAGCCCTCGGGGACATTCTGGAGTTGAGGATCCCCATGGCACCAAACCCATTTCACTGCAGAACCTCCCAGCCGTGTCCCATTTCCACAGTTCCAGGGGGTTTCAGTCCCTGCCCGGGCAGGGATCTCCAGGTTCAGGAGATGAGGAGAATCCAGGAGGCTCCAGCTTTCTGGGAAAGGCACCCTGGGCTGCTCACTCAAGAGCTGATCCTCGCTGCCTTTGATGCTCTCCTGTCCCAAGCTGCAGAGCTCAGCACTGAGATGATTGAACAGCTGAGCCCAGCCCCTGGCACAGAGAGGGAGTTTAGCAGAGCTTCCTCTCCCAGATGGTGCCCCAGAGGTGAGGATTACGTTGTTATCAGCATCTGTGAAAGTCCCAGGGATGGGAACAGCAGAGACAGGGAGAGGATGGAGGATTTCACCACCTTTTTTACAAGTAATTGCTGTTTCTGAATTTTTTCAAGAGTTTATTTGGGTTTTTGGGGGGTTTTGTCTGGTTGGTTGGTTTGCTTTTGTAGGTTTTTTTGTTGCTGTTGGTTTTTCCTGGAGTAATTCCTTGCAAACCTTATCATCAACTTCGGTGTGTCCTGAAGGGACAGGGATTTTTTTGGTTTAGAAATTTGTATTTGGAAGATGCTCCCAGTCACTGTGCCCAGGTGAGGCACCCACCCATCCCAGCAGCTCCAGAGGACCTTGAGCCCGTCCTGAAATGGGAAGGGAGAAGGTGGGAATTCATCCTTGAGGCAGAACCCAGCCCCAAGGAATCCCAGGATGGGTTGGGTGGGAGGGACCTCAGAGCCCCTCCAGTGCCACCCAGGGCACTGCAGGGACACCTTCCACTGTCCCAGGAGCTCCAAACCCCGTCCAGCCTGGCCTTGGGCACTGCCAGGGATCCAGGGGCGTCTCTGGAGCTTCTCCTGCCCAGGTGAGCCCCCCCAGCTCTGCCAGCCTGGCTCCAGCCCTGGGAGCAGCTCCGGGGCCCCAGAACAGAAATGTCCTGGCTGGGTTGGGTCCCTCCCTCTGGCAGCTCCTGCCTCAGGTGACAAAATGAGGATGATGCCCTTCCCTCAACTCATTCCCATCTCTTCTTCCTTTCCCCTCAGGGCACAGCAGCAGCTCCAACATCATAAATGATTTAGGAGCGGAGCCAGATGAAGCCAAAGCTGATGGATGACAATGCTCTGCTTGGGGGAATGTTTTCCTGCTGGAGGTTTTTTGGAAACAAATATATTTATCCTCACTGAAAACTGAAACACAGCTCCCATCCCGGGTGACTCAGCCCCTGAGTCAGGATCCAGCGGGAGCACAGCTGGGAAGAGCCCACGGAGCAGCCAGAAGGGATCCAGGGAAGGGGAACTGCACCAGGCACTGCAGTCCTCAGGGCTCCTCAAATTCTCTCTGGCTTTAAGGGATTAAATGATTTTTGTCCACTGTCCCCTCAGTGGAACCTGCTGGGTCTGCAGGTTGCCTTTGGAAGCAGCAGGTCCCCGTTCACGCTGTGTGCCTTGGCTCTGGGCAAAGCCCCCTGCAGCAGAGGGGGCAGGAGGGAGGCTGGGACCCCCTGCACCCCCTGAGCCACATCAGCACCTCCAGGAAACAGGCTGGGACCCCCTGCACCCCCTGAGCCACATCAACACCTCCAGGAAACAGGCTGGGACCCCCTGCACCCCTGAGCCACATCAACACCTCCAGGAAATGGGCTGGGACCCCCTGCACCCCTGAGCCACATCAACACCTCCAGGAAACAGGCTGGGACCCCCTGCACCCCCTGAGCCACATCAACACCTCCAGGAAACAGGCTGGGACCCCCTGCACCCCTGAGCCACATCAACACCTCCAGGAAATGGGCTGGGACCCCCTGCACCCCTGAGCCACAGCAACACCTCCAGGAAACAAGCTGGACACAGGGACCACCGAGTCAAACACAGGGCAGCACAAGAGGGCTGGTCCCGAGCGGTGACAGCGGATTCACGTGGCAGGGGTGGAACAGGAGGAGGTCAAAGGTTCCTCCAACCCACCCCAGGAGTCTGGGATTTTCAAAAATACACTGGGGAGAAGCAGCCACCATCCACCACCCAGGGACCCACCCAATGCTCCCCCTTCCACCCCTCATCTGTTAGGAAAGAGCTCTTGGGCAACACTGCTGCTTCTCATCTCCTTCAATCAACCTCCCACCTTCCCTGACGGACCCTGCTCAGCAGCCACACACCACAGGCAAAACTCCTTTATTTCCCTCCTGCTTTACAAACTCTTGGTGCAGCTGAAGAAAAGAGGCTGCTTGTAAAAAGAAATGGAACCCCTGTCCCAGGGATGCTCCATCTACAGCACTGGGCACTCCCAGCTGGACACTGGGCACTCCCAGCTGGACACTGGGCACTCCCAGCTGGACACTGGGCACCCCCAGCTGGACACTGGGCACTCCCAGCTGGGCACTGGGTCATGGACACCCCCAGCTGGACACTGGACACTCCCAGCTGGGCACTGGGCACTCCCAGCTGGGCACTGGGCACTGGACACTCCCAGTTTGGACACTGGGCACCCCCAGCTGGACACTGGGCACTCCCAGCTGGACACTGGGCATCCCCAGCTGGACACTGGGCACACCCAGCTGGACACTGGGCACTGGACACTCCCAGTTCGGACACTGGGCACTCCCAGCTGGGCACTGGGCACTCCCAGCTGGACACTGGGCACTCCCAGCTGGAGCCTGACAGGGCTCTGGAGGACTGGACCTGTTGTTCAGGGCTGCTGGGAGTGGGATAACACCAAAGCCATGAGGTTGGAAGGCACTTGGAGAGGTATCACAAGCTGGTATCCACAGGGCTGCTCTTACAACATTCCCAAGTTTTGGCCTCTTGGGAATGGGGTTTTTACAGGAAATGGTACCAGGGTTTAAGTGAACAAAGTCCCTAAAATGATGCTCCCAGCAGGGATCAGGTTCTGGATCCAGGTCTGGCTGTAGCTCCTCCTGCCCCGATCCCACCTTGTGGGGCTGAAATCTCCTGGTGTTTTTCCTCAGGGATGTGGAATGTTTTGCTGCCAGGCTCTCCTTGCACAGGAGTCCAAGGAACCCTCGGGCCCCATATCCCACTCCAAACATTCCCCACTGAGGAGACCCCAGCACTGCCCCCTCCCCACTGCTGCTGAACCAGCTCTGATCTGTCCCGAGATAACAACGTTATCAATATTTTCATCCAGGAAGACCTGGAAACAGGAAGGAAGGCTTAAATCCAGGCTTGACCCTCTTCTCAAACACCAGGATAATCCAGGAGGATGGATCTGGAACTGGTGTCAGCCCAAACCAGAATCCTGGGAGGCTGAGGGTGCGGCGAGCCTCAGCACCCCGAGCTGTCCCCTGCCTTGTTCTTGCGCTGGAATCTCACGTGTGAGGGGTCGAATCCCCGCTCCCTGGCCCCGAAGAGGGCCCAGGGAGGAGTCCTGGCCGTGTACTCGGCCGCTGTGAAGGTCCTGGAGCCGCCGCTCCGCTCGTGCTCCCTGACCAGCTCCTGGAAACGGCCGTAGTCAATCCAGGTCCTCCACTCGCCATCCACCTGGAACTGCAGCAGAGGAACCGTGAGGGAGCACCAAACCCAGGGAGTGGGGATGGACAGGGATCCCCAGCTGGAGCCCCTCTGCTCTGGAGCCAGGCTGGGAGGGCTGGGGGACAGGAGAAGCTCCAGGGAGAGCTCAGAGCCCCTTGCAGGGCCTGAAGGGGCTCCAGGAGAGCTGGAGAGGGACTGGGGACAAGGGCTGGAGGGACAGGACACAGGGAATGGCTCCCAGTGCCCAAGGCCAGGCTGGACGGGGTTTGGAGCTGCCTGGGACAGTGGGAGGTGTCCCTGCCATGGTGGGGTGGGATGGGATTTAAGGTCCCTTCCAAGCCATGCCAAGATCCTGTGGTCTCTCCATGAGGGATGCACTGCTGGATGCTCACCTGGAGCCTTCCAAGTACAGATCCTCCCCCAGTTCAGCCCCACTTTCCAGGAGGGAGGCTTCTAAAATGCCTCCCAAAGCCTTCCCAGGCCTCCTGCCCTTGGCAGCGATCACTCCCACGGGAAAGCCTCGGTGTGGGAGCTGCCTGCAGCACAGCTGTGGATCTGGGCTGGTCCAGGTGCCCCTCCAGGAGGGACCGAGGTCATCCCAACCCCGAGCTGTGACTGTGACTCCAGGGCAGCCCAGCCTGGGACAATGGCCCAGGAGAAGCACCAGAGGCACGTGCCAAGGGCTTGGGATGGATTTGGGGGACAGGGACAGGGGCAGGAGGGCTGGGTTTGGGAATGGGGGAGATGAAGAGGTTTAATGACACAAATCCTCTTCCCATGTGAAGAATGGCTCACTTTGACAAGCTGGAGCTGCATTTGTCTCCCAGACCTGCTCTGCTCATTTAGCCCCAGCCTTGGCTGAAGCCTCAATTAGGATTTATCTCAGTTAAGAGCTTATTACGCATTTCATCCAAAAAAAGAGGGAAAACAGACCGGTTCCTTGGTTTTTGTGGATTTTTTTCCCCCCAAACTTGATGGCTGTGCATTTCAAATGGCACTTGACTTTGTGCCCAAGAGCTAAAAGCTTTTTTGGTTGAGAAAACTGCTGACAGCCTGAAATTCTGCAATCAGCCATGGCTGATGCTCCTCCATCCCTGCGCGGGGAATCACAGCGCGTCCCTGGAGCCAGGAGGGGACACTGCACAGTCACAGCACTGGCAACCTGTCCTGCCATAAATCAAGGTGCCCAAGGCTCATTTTTCTTGTGCTGAGGTGGGGATGTGTGTGAGGCCCTGAAGGCCCCCAGGTGCCCCAGTTCTCACCTCAGTGCCACCCCGTGACCTCCAGAGAGAGAAAATAACACCAGACATGAAACCTGCAGTTTGCTCTCCTTAAAATCCCTTTTCTCCCCAAATCCCTGCCCTTCAGAGACTTCAGAGCTCGAGTCCTGGAGCGTCACTCATCACAAGCAGGTGCCAATCAGCGAGTCCCATCCATCTCAGCAGGATGAATTATTCCTGACATTCCCAGACTCTTTCCTACAGGCTGGCATTCAATGGCAGCATTAAATTTATCAGGAGCATTGTCTGAACACCTCCAAACTCACACCTAGGAAAACACAGTGAAATAAATCACATTTCTTAATGAATTTTATTACCCTCTTCCTGCCACTCCCTAATTTTTCAAAGACCCCTTTGATTTTGCAATTAGTCACTCTGGTTTGATCAATCCCAGAGCACAGGTTTTCCTGCAAATAATAGGCACTGACAGATTTTATTCTTCACTAGAGCCTGAAACTCAAAAATTAAACCCTAATGGAAATAAATTTATTTTTTATTAGCTATTTTAGCACGGAGGACAGATTGTTTCACACAGACACCCTCTGCTAATGGCTCTGGAAGGAGAAGCAGCTGTTGAGTTCCTCCTGGGCAGGTACCAATTTATTCTCCTCGCTAATGGTGTTGCTTAAATTCTGTCTCAAGAAGATTTCTGCAATCTGTTTGTTTGCTTTCCTGGACCTTACAATGCAAAAGGAGATTTTACTTTCTCAGGAACAGTTGCCAGTGGCAACAGCCAGGAGTGAGACTGTAAATAAAGCCAATTTAAGGTGAGATCAAACACAACCAGTGCCAGGTGTCCTGGTTTTCTCTGCTCCTTCCCAGCTGCTCCCCCTGCAGATTCCAGGGTAGGTTTAGATTGGATATTCAGGAGAAATTCCTCCCTGGCAGGGTGGGCAGTGCCTGGCACAGGTGCCCAGAGCAGCTGGGGCTGCCCCTGGATCCCTGGCAGTGCCCAAGGCCAGGCTGGATGGGGTTTGGAGCTCCTGGGATAGGGGAAGTGTCCCTGCCATGGAATAGGATGGGCTTTAAGGCCCTTCCAACCCAAAGCATTCCAGGAATCTACAATTTCATCAGGTGCCCAGAGGGCACATTATTATCTTTTTCTGCAGTCCTTTTATTAATCTTTTCTGAAGCTCAGAAAGCAAATATGTACTCATTAATTTTAATTTCCTGCATCCTTTAAAATGATTTTTTTTATTGCATTTCACTTGTATTTCATTTCCCTTCCAGTACTTGAAGGGAAGATGGTGACAAACCTTTCCAGCAGGACCTGTTGCAAGGGCTGATGGATTTGAACAGCAGCAGGGTTGGCTTACATTGGATATGAGTTGTATTTTTTACTGTGAGGGAGGTGAGGCCCTGGCAGAGGTTGCCCAGTGATGCTGTCATGACAAGACCTTGAGGGGCGGGAGCGTGTCCAGGGCAGGGAAGGGAGCTGGGAAGGGGCTGGAGCCCCAGGAGGGGCTGAGGGAGCTGGGAAGGGGCTCAGCCTGGAGAAAAGGAGGCTCAGGGGGCCCTTGTGGCTCTGCACAAGTCCCTGGCAGGAGGGGACAGCAGGGGGGGTCGGGCTGTGCTGCCAGGGAACAGGGACAGGAGGAGAGCTCAGGCCTCAGGCTGGGCCAGGGGAGGCTCAGGGGGGATTTTGGGGAAATTTCTCCATGGAAAGGGCTGTCCAGCCCTGGCACAGCTGCCCAGGGCTGGGGTGGAGTTCCCAACCACCCCCTGGAGAGGTTTAACACAGATGTGCTTGTGGCACTTGGGGACATGGGGCAGGGGTGGCCTTGGCAGTGCTGGGCTGGATACAGAGGGCTTTTCCAGCCTGCCCAGTTCCAATTCCAGCTGACTGCAGAAGAAGGCCAGGCAGGCAGGGCAGGATGCTCACCTTGCAGTGTGCCAGCAGCAGGCAGTTGGAGTGCTCGTGCTCGCAGGCGATGCCGTACTCCGGGAGCAGCCGCGCCAGCTCCTGCACGAAGCTCAGCACCTCCCCGTGCCACGGCACGTTGGCCATGCTCAGGCTGCTGGCAGGGCTCTCCCCGCAGTAGGTGACACCCTGGGGACACAGGGAAAAGGGACAGTCAGCTCAGGCCTCCCCACACCACCACTGCTGGACACAGCAAACCCTGCAGTGACACCTCCCCAGGGCTCTGTGCCAGGCGTCCCCAGCAGTGACACAGGCTGCACCTAACCCTGGAAAGCTGCTTTGACAGGACACACAGGGGGGATGCTCCTGAGTGACCAGGGACCTTGGAGAAGGCCACTGGGGCAGGAAAGGTGACAAGTCTGGAAGAGTCTCATGGAGAACCAGTGCCACGTCAGTGGGATGCTCCCAGAGATCCTGCCCATGTGCCACAGAGAGAACGAGCTCTGGACCTGCTCCTCCTCCTCCTCCCAAGCCCAGGCTGTTATTTCTGTGCTCCAGGATCTGTTCCCAAATGCAGCAGGTCCCTGGGAGGGCCGGACCCACCATGGAGGTGTCCAGGAGCTCAGCCCCTCCCTGCTGGGACCCGGCAGGAGCACTGGGGCTTTGGGAAGCAGCTGTTGGAGGCACCCCAGAACTGACATCACTCAAGGACAGCTCCCCTGCAGATCCCAGGGCGTTCAGGGAAATGGGGCTGCTGCTCCAGCTCCCATCCCACCCCCACACAGCAGAACAGAGAGCCTGGAGCAGGACACGTGTCCCTCTGTCCCCACAGAGCCAAGGCTTCTCTGCCTGCTTCCAGCCCCTCTGCTCTTGGGCTGAGCTCTTTTATTCCAGTCATAAAATCCCATCAAGCAGCAGCCTTTACAACACAGTTTTATGGATGGCTGTGTCTGGCCTGCTCGTGGTTTATCCCCTGGGAAGAACACTGTGACCTCCTTTAGATGGGATTTGCATCCAGGTCCATGTGTGGCATGGCCATGGCACCCGCTCCCAGCTGCCACCACGCTCCAAATCCTGATCCACCTGCACCTCCCTGCACGTGGAATGTGCAGACACATCTTTGCCAACACCTTCAAGCAGAGCACAGAGCACACACAGCGCCTCAGGAGGAACAGCCTGCTGCTAACGGGGAGCTGCACAACTTTTGGAAGCAATTCCTTTCTCACCCATAAATGTATCAGGGACTCTCCCCATTCATCTGCCCAGGCCCCATAACTCAGAGGCAGCCTGGGGGAAGACTGGCAGGGCACAAGCCAGGGAGTGCTCACCAGAGATGAACATTCAGGCTTTTCTAGCCCAGCTCTGTAAGTCTGAAGCCAAAGTTTAAACACGTTCGTTCTCTATTAGTCAGTGTTATATCAGAGCAGGCAGCTACGCAAATCAGGGGTTTGGAGACACACAGCAATATTCTCCCCACACTCATTATCCAGATTATGATTTGAGCAGCATGAAAAATGTATGAGTACAGAGGGGGAAAATTCTTCAGAAGCTCCAACATGATTCATGGTCTCAGTAAACTACAAAGATATCGTTTACAAGGAAAGAAAGCACAGAGGCAAATGGAATAAGTGAGTGCTTGGCTGGCTGATTAATTCCCAGCACAAATCAATGGGAATCAGCTTCCAGCACACCAAAGGAAAGCAGCTTTCAACTTCCCCAACTTCTTCAAACTGGAGTTAATTAACAGCTGATAGCACTTAAAACCCATGCGGAGCTGATGAGGGCGGTCACGTTCTGCTTTGCAGTAATACATGAAGACAGTTATTAAGACATCAAGAATTAAAAAGGAAAGGATCCCATTGTTCACCCAGAGCTCTCTCCCCAACCTCCCTTCGGCAGGAACAGCAACGATGCTGCCTCTTAATTACCTGCTTAATAAGGGTGCTTTGAGCAGCCTCATCCACAGAGCTCTGGCCAAGTACCTTGAAATGCAGAAGCCTTTGAAAAGCATCCCAGCTCCTCCAGGTTCTGCCAGGATGAATCCAGAGCAGCTGTGCTGGGCATACTCTGGATTTCATAGAATCATGTAATCATGGAACAGGTTGGAAAGGACCTTAAAGCCCATCCAGAGCCACCCCTGCCATGGCAGGGACATCTCCCACTGTCCCAGGTGCTCCCAGCCCCAGTGTCCAGCCTGGCCTTGGGCACTGCCAGGGATCCAGGGACAGCCCCAGCTGCTCTGGGCACCTGTGCCAGGCACTGACCACCCTGCCAGGGAACGTCTCCTGCCCAAAATCCCATCCATTCTTGCCCTCTGGCACTAGGAAGCCGTCCCCTGGGTCCTGTCACTCCAGGCTCCTGTCCAAAGTCTCTCCCCATCTTTCCTGCAGGCTCCCTTGAAGTCCTGGAAGGTCACACTGAGCCCACCCCAAAGCTTCTCCTCCCCAGGTGAGCATTGCCAGCTCTCCCAGCAGAGCTGCTCCATCTCTCTGATCCCCCTGTGACTCCTCTGGGCTCCTCCAGCAGCTCCAGGTGCTGGCCCAGGGCTGACTTTCGGCTGGAATGGAGCTGAGTGAGCACAACTGGATGAACCAGAGCCCTGTTCCAGGGTGGCTGCTGGTGCTGTGGGAAGCAAGGGAAGCACATTCCTGCCCCCAGGACCTGGCTCCTGCCCCAGGATGCAGACAGCCAGCAATCCTTTCAGTCCCCAGGGCTCTGAAGGAAACAACTACAGCTGACAGTGCTTTGTTTCTCCACTCACACTCCAGACTTCCTAATTTAATTACTGAATAAAACAATTCTCTTCACTCCAAGCACACAAATTATAAATTTAATTGAGGCTCGTGCGAATTAACAGAGAACAAAGTGTGGGCCAAGCTGCTGAGTGGCAGAGACACTGTTTAAAATCTGGGGCAGCCATGACCCCAGACAAATATAAAAAGCCTCAATGCCACGTTGATTGCCGTCTGCAGTGAAAACACGCTGGAGCTGAGCAGCAGCACTCCCCAAATGACAGCCACAGGGCCTCACACACGTCTGCTCCTGCTGCAGTGGATTCAGCCAGGATTCAGCTCCTTGGCTGCTCTCAATCATCACTTTTGAGCTGGTTTAACAAAGGCCATCAGTGCTTTGTGTCACTCGGGTCTGCAGGGAGGCTGGAGATGGTGCAGCACAGCCCCAGCATCTCCCAGCAGCTCTCCAGACACCCACGGCTGAGGGCCAAGAGCTGCTGCACTGCCTGGAAATCTGCAGGGATTCCCTGCACGTGGAAGCAACTCCTCCTGGGAAAGCTGAACTCAAAACACAAGACCCAGCCTTTGATCCCAGCTCCCTCAGCTGCTCCTGGGGCTCCAGCCCTTTCCCTGCCCTGGACACAAAATACTGCACATCAAACAAGCCTCTGCCTTTAGGAACACAAAGAGGGCACCATGGCAAGAAATGGAGTTCTGGCATGTTCCAGACCTTAAATACAACCATCAGCTCTTACAAGTGTGACACTGACACGCTGGCATTAGAACAGATTAAGGCAATAAATCTATTTGATGCATTTTTAATGACTGAGCCTCCCTTTACTATTGGCTTAAGTGGGAGAATGGGGTCCCACAGAGTTACAGCACTGTGAGGCACTCATGGAAATAAGAACAAGGATTAAGCCCTGCAAAAATCTAAATCTCTCTCCATTCACCCCGTGAGCTTCTCTGGAGCAACACTGGATTAGCTCCCTTCATCTGAAATGGACGTTCTTTATCCCAGGTCTTCAACCAGAAAATCCCCAAGCTCAGCCCCATTGTTGGGCAGAGCTCTGCACAATCTCCTCATCACTCTTTGTTGGTTGGCTTCGAGCACCACCTGCTCCTTGGCCTTTTACCAATTATTATTCAGTGATATTAAAAGCAAAGGAGAAGTTTCTTGTGCATCACTTTGGAAGAATTTTACTTACTCAGAAAGTTTAGACATAAGGCAGGGGAAAATGGGGACAAAACAATGGAAAATAGTGCTGGAAAAACAGAAACAGCTCCATGCAGCTCACCTTGACCTCCACGAAGTCTGGTTTCCCGAGGGATATCAGGTCAGCATAAGCTTTCAGCTCATCCACATTCCAGCCTTTCACCAGGGTCAGCCTATAAACAGTGCGTTGTTGCTGGAACAAAGGATAAATCCCATTAACATCCCATCCTGAGCCAGGAACAAAGGAAAAATCCCACTGACATCCCATTCTGATCCAGGGAAGATGTTCCAGCCTTGCACACAGATTCTAACAGGAAAAAGAAATCAAATCATTCTTTTATTCCAAGAACTCAGAGATCGAACCAAGCCAGACCCAAAAAAGCTCCTGCAGGAAATCTGCCCTGCAGCACCTGGGCTGAGCCACCTCATGCCACACAAATCCTCCCTGTGCCACACAAATCCTCCCTGTGCCACACCTCGCATCCCTGGCACTTTGGGCAGTTTAACTTAATGGCAAAAAAAGCAGGAAATGTCTCTCTGTTGGATTTGCTTCCCCAGGCATGAAACCTCCCCATCAATTCCAGGGGTTTTAATGCCTCCAGGTCCAGCCTGGGGACTCTCACAGAAACATGGAATGATTTATGTTAGAAAAGCCCTCAAAATATCAAGTCCAGCCTTGAGCCAGCACTGCCAAGGCCACCCCTGAGCCGTGTCCCACATCCAGAGGGCTGTGAATCCCCTCCAGCACCTCCCTGCACAGCCTGTTCCTGCGTTTGACAACCTTTCCTTGAGAAATCTTCCCCAAAATCCCCCCTGAGCCTCCCCTGGCCCAGCCTGAGGCCGTTCCCTCTCCTCCTGTCCCTGTTCCCTGGCAGCACAGCCCGACTCCCCTGCTGTCCCCTCCTGCCAGGGACTTGTGCAGAAGATTCCCAGATCCAACTTCCTCCTGGGAAGGTGGCAGCCAGCACTCCCAGAACTTCTCTGCTTGGAGTTATTCTTGTTTGTCCTCTAAGGGCTGCTCTCCAAAGGAGTCACCAGTGACAAAAGGCCTCTCAACACAAGCACTTGGCCATGGAACAAATCCACTCCTCACATCCGCTTGTTTCCATCCTTCCCCTCCCCTTCATCTTCTACTGATGTTTTATTTCACTTATTTTTGGAATTTATTTTTATTTATAGAGCAATTTTCTGGCGAATCTGCAGTTTGGATTAACTCCTTTGCTGTCCCTGCACACTGTGGACTGGAAAATGTAAACGCTGAGCCCAGCGTGGGCAGCAGGAAAGGGATTGGGATTGTGCCCCTGTGCCCAGGTGAGACCCCAGAGCTGCCCCAGCCCTGGGCCAGCACCTGGAGCTGCTGGAGGAGCCCAGAGGAGTCACAGGGGGATCAGAGGGATGGAGCAGCTCTGCTGGGAGAGCTGGCAATGCTCACCTTAGTCCTTCAGAGGCTCTGACTGCCACCCCAGTGAATTCTGCCCTCCATATAAAAATCAAGGTATCACCCACCTACCACCCATTTCTGTGTGCTCCACAGGGGGAAAAGTTCTACACCAATTTGTTATGGAAAACTCCCAGGTTATTTACTGTGAAATAACAAGAGGAGAAACAAATGAACACCAGGAGCACCTTCTTCTAAATATGGCAAGAACTAAACCAGCAGACCTCTACCCATGGCATTTAAGCAGAGATTTGAAGAACAAGCAATTCTTGTGATTTGAATGGATTGGCAAAAGAAAGGTCAAGAGACAAGTAGGAAATCAACTGTTAATTACTGAAGAGAGAAGAGCAGTAGAGGAGCTAATACAGAAAAATGAACACGTTGTTTGCACATAACAGGGGAAGAAGAAAGCAGAGGGAAAGATCCAAGGAGGAAAGTCTGCAGTGCACACACCCCATCAGTCCTGTGCAATGATCAGACACCAATTAATGAGAACTGGCTCCCCACAGGGCAGCTCCCAGTGGGGAACAAATGCAGCAGCTTCAGGGCACCAGTAAATACCAGTCTGTATTCAACACAACTGGTCCCATTTCACAGCAGCCCCAGCCAGGGCAGCACATCTGCCCAGGCAGGGAAGTGGGGCTTCCTCCCATTTAAATCTCATTTTACTACTCTCCACTTCACATCCCAGCCCATTTAGAAGTTTAAGGTCAAGGACTTCATAAAACTAAACATGCTGTGAGTGAATTTAAAGGGCTTCTCCCCCCGGGGCAGAACTGACAGGGAGTAACTCTGTGTGTGCACACTCCAACACCTGAACATCCCAAAACCTGCGTGAACTCACCAGGGCTGGGCAGGGAAAGCAGGGAAGGAAACAAACTCTGCCAAAGGCAGACAGCAAACAGGTAGAAAAATCAGAAATTAATGTGGAGAAGCCTCTTTCCAGAGGGCAACATCTCTGCAGTGTTGTTGAGCAGAGAAACGCTGGTGGAAGGCACAGATCAAAATGAGTAATATCCCAAACCGTTATCTGGGAGCAATCCTTGCAGACTGCCAGCAGTACAAACAGCCAGCCTGTTTTATTCATGGATTATTTGTATTTGTTGTACAATAGGGCCCCAGGAGATCCTCTCATAAGCACAGCAAAACAAGAAATAAAGAGCTTAAGCTGTGAGAATTTAACGATCTAAAGCATCAGGCTATAAAAGCAGCCTGGGATGCTCCACGCTCCGTGTTTCCAGGAAAAGCAGCTGTTGCTCCGTCACGAGGAGAACACAGAGGAAGAGGAGTTGGTGTGAGAACAGCCCATCAGATGGGTGTGGGGCTGCTTTATCCCTGTGTGCCCAGCTCCCGGTGCCCAGCCTGGAGCACAGGCTCTGGAGCCTGCTGCACTGTCCCTGGAGGCCACCCTCACATCCTCCTAGGCCTGACACAGGTACCAGTGGCTCCCTGCTGCCTGTGCACGCTCTGCTGCTGGCCCAGCCCCAGCCCAGGACACCTCAGCGCAGGACTCGGTGTCACTCTGACAAAGTGCTCCCTTCCCACTCCAGTGACCACAAGGGATTGGGGCTGCTCCTTTTTTATCATTGCTTCTTAATTCCCTCCTCCTCAACATTAATCTTTTCCTAGATCAAATGTAATTATTCTTCATGAAGCAGCCCAGGTGTGATCCCAGGAGGAAGAGGGAGGGGAACACATCCCCTGCAAAGGGCAGGATGCTGGAGGGACACGGGCTTGGCTGGGGCAGGGGAGCAGCTCCCTTCCCTGGCCAGGACAGGGAACCATCTCCCTTCTCCAAGGGAGCAGGGAAGCGTCTCCAAGGCCCTCACCTTGGATCCTGTCACTTGCACTCACTCCTTCATTCAGGCAGAGTAATGTCCCCCTATTTGGAAGTAAATATAATTACACCCAGATTTTTGTTCCAGCTGCTGGCTTAGGCTCAGGTATCCCAAACACCTACATGCATTTCTTAGGTACAGATGGAATTATTTTATTGCCATTTCACCCAGGGACTCCTCCACAGAAATCCCGATTTTTGCAACTATTGACTCTCAACAGAAACGCAGCACAGCTGGATGGAAAAAGCACTCTTTGGGGGAGGAAATGACAGTGCAAACTCCAAACAGAACCTGCCCTTTGTTTCACACAGCTTCACACCCCTTTGCCAGCACTGGATGAGGAGCAGGAACCACTTCAAAGGCAGCTCCTTTCATCGGGATTTTCTTCCTCTCTTCAAGGAAAGGCTGCACTTGGCAAACTCCCCCCATGACACATTCTCAGAGCTCCTGAGCTGGCAGGAGCTGCTCTGCTCATGGCACAACCCAGCCCAGGAAGGGGCAGCGAGCCCCAGAGCTGCCCCTTCCAGCTCCTGCCAGGCTCCTGAGAGAACCAGCGCTGAAGAAAGACATCAAAGCAATTTTCACACTTGGAAATGACTTGTCACAGGGATGGGAAAAAAGCCCCTGCAGCCAAAATCTCTTCCCCACAGCCGATAAGGAGCTGCTTTATGCAGAAACCTCACCAGGGAGGAAAGATCCAAAACGCAGCCCGAGGAAATCTCAGATCCCAACACCCCCCAGACTCCACAGCTTTCCAAAGCCTTCCAGTTCAGCCCAGAGACAGAGCCCCCCTAAAAGGACTGGAAACCACCCCTGCCTCTCCCAAATCCAGCTCTGCTGAGCTCCCAGGAGCTCTGCAGATCCCAGAATCCTGGAGTGATTTTAGCTGGGGGGATGTTGAAGTGCATCTCATTCCACTCCTGCCGTGGGCACCATCCCAAGGTGCTCCAAGCCCCGTCCAGCCTGGCCTTGGACACTTCAGGTGTGTTTAAGCACAAAAATATCTCTTTAAGTGCTCAGTTTTTCTCAGCTGAGATTTAAAAACTTCCCTCAAAACAGATGGAGTGGGAGGCACCTCTGCCCATGGCTGGGAGGTGCAAAGGGATGCTCTTTAAAGTCCTTCCAACCCAGCCCATTCCATGACTCTGTGAGCTGAGTGCTAATGCCAAAGGAACTGGGACATTTCTAAAAAAGAACCCCAAACTTATTAAAAAAACAAACATAAACCCCAAAGCAAACCTAATACTACTTTTCCATGCAAAGGCCATTCCTGCTCCTTGTGAGGGAAGCAGGTGAAAAAACTAATTAGGGACTGAGGAAAAATACAATTCCAAGGTGATGTCAACATGATGGGGACTGGTCCTGCATCTTGTCTTGAACCTGGAGCCCAAGGCAGTCCCTTTAAAGCAGTTTTTAATTCTTTCAGCTTTAATTTAAATGTGTAAGAACCAAAATTGTCTCTCTGAAGTACAATTATTGTGAGGAGCCAAGCCTGATCTCCATATGAAATTCCTTGTTCTTCCAAGGCCTTGAAGATAAGATGAAAACTGTCCTGAATAATAATTAGGAAAACAGCAAAGTTGGACTTTTGGTCTGCCTCAGGTTTTTTGTCACCCAACAGCACTGCCGTGTTGTCCAGCTCTGAAATCCTGCCTGGAAAGAACAAGAAAGTCCTGCAGGGAGATGAATCCATCAGCACTAATTCCCAAGCTGGAATTTTATACCAGAAAAGCCCCTCGGCCTCTGCATAGCCCTGCTGATGTGTGAAGCGCAGGAATGAGGGATCAGGACTGGAAACCAGGGAGAAAAATCCACCAAATTTCACTCCCCTCCACACTCACTCTTCCTGTTCTTGCTTGTGATCTATTTTATTGCTTCACACTTCAGCAGAAATTAATCAGATTATTGAAAATTCTC